CCTAGGCTCTGTGGTTTAACCCACAGCGCCACCTGCATCCTTAAAAAGATTGTAGTTACCTGGAAAAACTGGCTGCTTGTTCTGGTTTGGGCTCAATAATGCTGATTCAGTGTGGCTTCACCCCCTTCCTGTTCCAAAAGGCCTGCTCTTCAGCATCAACATGGGTCTTTAAAAAGAGAAAGAAGAAGTAATTAGAATCATTGCCAGTATCCTCAAGGCAGCGCTGGAGACCAGGAATGAGCAAGTAAACAAAGCTTGAACCTTAAATGTCCCTCTCTGCACACTATTTGCAGTCGGTGAGAATGGGCAGGGGCGTATCAGGGAATTTCAGTTGTGTGTGTGAAAGGGAGGTTACTGGTGGCGAGTCTTCTGACTGCTGGGGGGCAGGATTGCCCCACAAATACCCTTGTGAATAGGTTACTTTTGGGGAGGGTGCTAGCAGAACTAGCGGCAGTGGAAAATGGGAGCTGGAGGGAATTGCAACATGTTTTTCCTCTCTCCTGCAATTACTCCTCCAAAATTTCCCCTTGAAAATTCTGCCCTGAGCTCTTGACTCAGCCCTAGGCGTACTGCAGCATCATCTGTGGTTAATGCGTAGCATTTGGGGAGTTGTGAGGAGGGGGAATATGAATTTGGATTGAATTGAATTCCCTGCCCCTTGGTTATGATTCCACCTGTGGACTTAAAAAAGGAAACAAACATTGGCTAACCAAATTGGGCTTGTGGGAGATGGGAAATGGTTGGTTCACATTGCAACCGAACGACAAGCTCTTTGGGTACAGATAAGCTAAGTCATTAGTCTTCCAGTCTCAAAATGAGGATAATCAAAGCAGTCTACTTTACAGGGCTCTTTGTAAAGATTACTAAGATTGCATGAAAGGCCCTTTGAACAATTGAAGTGTGCTATGTGTGTACTTTGCGAACACTCAATTTGTATAGTACATTTGCACCTTGTGACTATTTTGAACATTTTTACACAAATCATCGCTGATGATTTCAAAGAACGTGGAATGTTTTTTTTTTTTACACTGAAGGAATGAAAGAATGAGAGAGACCCATTTTCCATGACCACAGAAAGTCCTGCCTAAGCCCTGTCTGACTTTTGCACATATATGGGCAATGCCTGGTGATACCATCAGCCACAGGGTCTAGAAACATGCAATTATTTTTTTTTTAGATTAAAAAGCTGAAGTTGGTAGTATGCACAGTTCTGTGCTGAACAGCAGATTCTGCCATTGAGTGAAACTTCTATGGGTTCATCACCATGTGCCCTTCCGAACGTGATAGATACCTATTGCTTTCCTGACATGTTCTGTCACTTATATAGTGTAGACATAATGAATACTTGGTGTAGGAGACCACCTGGGGACATTGAATATGCCACCCCCAGTCTTTCACCAGTGGGTGAGAAAGAAGCGTATTAAATGAATAAAAACATAGCAGGGAAGGGTGGAGACCAGTCAGCATTAGCATCTAGAACAGTGTCCTTCAACCTTGGCTCCTTAGGTGGTGTTGGACTACAGCTCCCATCATCCTTGACCATTGGCTAAGCTATAACTGAGGATGATGGGAGTTGTAGTCCAACAACATCTAGGGGCTAAAGGCTGTAGAACACTGATCCAAAAACAAATACAGAACTTTATGCTGCATGTGTCTGGTGGATGTCAGAGCACTGTAGGTGCACATCTTTTCTAGTACAATTGCTCCATCTGAAAAGCTGCCTTGGGTTCTCTGGGCTTTTAAGCTGCTTTCCTGAAGGAAGCCACACACCCCTAAATTCCTAGCCAGTGTATCTCCTTGGGCTGTCACGTGCCCAGTGCACTCATTCCCGTTTTTGTTGAATAAGGACTTTCTCTTGGATGCAGCTTGTCTGACCTTCCTAAAGCAATTATTGTGTTGCAGTGCATCCACGAGAGGGTTCAGTGCTTTACCTCCATGGCACCTTCATAAACCACTGGAGAAGAAAATTGTCTTCTCTCCCTTTTTTTGTTTTGCTTTCAGGAACACTTTGCAGTCTTGACAATGTGCAGCTTGCCCAGGCATTGAAAACTTGTCACTTCACAGCCTTCGTTCGTTGCTGAAAGTGGGTTTGCGTGTATCAGCCGCTAGGTGACCTTCAATAGCTACATCCAGTCGATTGCTCCTCACCTTAATAATCTGAGATATGAATGGACCTTTGGTCCTCCCTTTGCAGCATCAGTAACCATTCTAGGATTCTGAACTGAAAAAAGGACCCCTGACAGTTAAGTCCAGTCGCGAACGACTCTGGGGTTGCGGCGCTCATCTCGCTTTACTGGCCAAGGGAGCCGACGTTTGTCCGCAGACAGTTTTTCCGGGTCATGTGGCAAGCATGACTAAGCCGCTTCTGGCGAAACCAGAGCAGTGCACAGAAACACCGTATACCTTCCCGCCAGAGTGGTACCTATTTATCTACTTGCACTTTGACGTGCTTTCAAACTGCTAGGTTGGCAGGAGTTGGGACCGAACAATGGGAGCTCACCCTGCCGCGGGCATTCGAACCGCTGACCTTCTGATCGGCAAGCCCTAGCCTCAGTGGTTTAGACCACAGCACCACCCGCTTCCCAGGATTTTGAACTAGGAAACCTCTAATTAACCAAAGTTTCCTGTTTTGTCACTAACCATTACTATGATTGCCAGCTTCAGAATGAGCCAGAATATTAAACTTCAAACCATGGTTTGATGTACTGACTTGTTCTGAAGCTGGTAACCGTGGGTTCTCAGTTTAGAAACCGTGGTCAGTTGGTGGCTTCTTGGCTTTCTCTCACTACAGAAGGAACAGCAAAGTGGCTGCATGTGTAGGCAACAGGTTCTTCGGTTTATTAAGCTGAGATATCTGCCCTAGGGAAAAGGGCATAAGGAGTGCTTGGTGGAACAGGCCAGTTGACCCACTGAGTCCAGCATCCTGTTTTCACTATGGCTAACCAGATGCCTGCAGAAAACCCTGAAGCAGGACCTGAGCACAAGAGGGGGAAATTTGTGCCGTGGGAGGAGAAGAAACTACATTTCTGTAGCTAGCTGTGGATTAACAAACCATCATTAATGATAAAAGAGTTATGTTTGCACTAACCTGTTTGTCCGCAGATCGCAAGGCTGAACCTCAACATTGTGTCGTTGGATTATTATTATTATTATTATTATTATTATTATTATTTTTTAAAGCCTGTGACATCAACTATTTCACTGTGTGGTCTTCAGCAGGGAGCTGCCCCCCTCTGCAAAATAAAACGTGGGAATTTCAATAACTGTTGAGGTCTTATTTCATCCCTATTATAGGCATATTAATGTAAACTCTTGATGACATGCCAACAAGAGAAGAAAACGAGCAATTAACATATATTGAGTACTTACAGATTTGCTTTTTTTAAACGATTATCTGGATTTTAAGGTATTAGCTCGAGAAATATGCTCCCCCACACAATCCCTCGTTAAAGACAAAAGAGACTAGTTGTTAGGAGCAGCAGAGAGCTGTGTGCAGAATCCAATGCATATTGAAAATTTGCCTGGGTTCAACTGACCGAATGACTTTGGGATCCAGCACTGCCAAGCAGCTCGGCTTAGTTGCCCCTCTGCAGACGGGTATTCCCTGCCTCCCAGTTTCCCATGTGTTCAGAAAAGGTTGGTGGGGGCGATCTAAGACAAAGAGACCCTTGTGAGTTCCAGCAAGTTGCTTGGCAGTGGGCTAAAGTCTTGTTGAATATCTTGCTTCTCAGCTCCTGTGCTTTGAACTGTGCAGAACAGACAGAAGTTGAACTGTATAATTCTGTCAGGAATTCCTGGAAGATCTACAAGCTGATATAACTGGAGTTCTCTTTGGTACACCAGACTTCAAAAAGTTTTGTAATGTTCCCCTGCCACAGTCATCTCCCCATATAGCATCCTTCTCTCTCTCTCTCTCTCTCTCTCTCTCTCTCTCTCTCTCTGGGTATAAGTAAGATGCCAATATTCAAGGTGCCCAACTTTTTTTTGGCAGTGCTTTGAATAACACCAAAATCTGACTTTAGGCACAATTGAGTACACCTTCATGGATTTCAGTGAATTTGGGAGAAAGCCGACATGTTTTCTGTATTCCTCCCTTTCTGTTCTAAAATCCACCCCCAACAACTTTAGAGTAAATAATCAAAACTCACCAGTACATTTGTGATGGGGCACAATATTGAAAGTCTGTCTTAAACCTCTTCTTTCTCTCTTGTCATTCATCCATTTTTGTTACTTGTATGGCATAATGTAGGCCTTACTACTTTTGCTTTCCTCCATTTATGTTGAATCTATTTAAAATTATGTTTCTCCTAAGTTCCCCTATTTTTCTTCCTATTCCATCCCTTGTGCAAGGCTTAAGTGGAAACCATTAATGGGTTGTCCACATTTCTTCCTTCAGCTGGAAGCTTGTCAAATTATTCCTCTCCTTTATGACCTTCCTCCTCTATACCCAACTACCGGGTAATCACAAGATCCATGCTTAATCCAGAAGGTACCAGCTTGGAGGCTTGCAAATTGCAAATTGTTGCTTTATGTGATCCAAATTGCCATAAACATGACCTCCCAGCTGTTCTTCCTTACCTTGTTGACTAATAACTAACAAGCTATTTAGTGCCGTACCAAAAACACCCCCACCAATTTACTCTTAAAGCACCAGGAAAATGACATGTAAATGGGTTGTAAAATGCTTCTCTAAATGCCATGCAATTACTTAAAGCGGTAATTGCTAAAGTTTCATTAACAGAGCTTGAAGAAGAAAAAGCTTGCTTAGGTGGAACTGTAATTAGGTTGGAGGGGGGAAAATCCATTAAATGGGTTTGGGTTGTTGTTTTTTATTGTATTACAGCTGCCTAGGTGGGAGTAAGTCTAAACAGGCCAGGGCAACTCAAGTTCACTGCAGAACTTATCCTCTAGCAATGCTATTTAAAATTAAAGGCCTTATTGTGATTCAAAATCTTGCAGTGTGGATGCTGGGACAGGGGCTTCTCAAACATTCAGGGAAAGGATGTATCTCAGTGGCAAGACATCTGCCTCATTTGCAGAAGACTCCAGGTTCAATCCCTGGCATGTCCAGGTTGAGTTGAGAAAAAAAATTGACCTGAGACCTTGGAGGAGCTTCTGTTACTCTATGTAGATAATGCTGAGCTTGGTGGACAGCTCATTTGACTCAGTATTGCAGAGTTATATTGTGCGATCTATTTAGGGCTACAAGAACACTCTTTTATTTTATCTGACTGCTCACAAATGAGTGTCGTGCTCATTGATTTAGCACAATAGGGAATGCTGGTAAAAATAGGAATATTGATTGAGCTTCTTCTACAAGACGTTGGCTAAAAGCAGCAAAATCAAGGTGACAGTTTGCTGTTTAGCTGGTGTGCTTCTTGGCCCTAAGTCTTCTCTCCGCCCCACTTAATCCTATTCCTTCTTATTTTTATCACATTTTGAACACATGGATATGTTGAATTCCACCCATCGGAAGAAAGGGCACTAGCGGCACAAGCACAATTTCCCACATTTTTGTTCTTCTAATAACTGTAATTTACCCAAACCAGCTTTGCACCTGGAATCTCATTTCTTTGCTACCATAAACAGAGGATGAGTGTGTAAAAATATCCACTGAGCTTTGTCATAGCCCTCGCTTTTAAAAAAGTTTCCTCCTAAAACTTTTGCAAATCATTATGCTTCTGTTTCTTTCTCACACAGGATAGTTTTCTTCACATCTTGCTGCTCACACCCCAAAATAGATTTTTGTGTTTGAAGGATAATCCCATGTTTAAAAAAGAGCTATAAGCACTTATTTTAAAGGATTTGCTAATTAAGGCATCACATCCAAGCGTGTCTGATAAAGTTCGAAACTAACCCCACCCACACCTGAAGTTTCATTTTTCTCAGTGTACCTGTTACATCTGTCTTACTTATTGAACTCGGGTAGATAATTAATTCTGAAGTTCAATCAATATTGCTAGAGGGGTGATAGAATACAGAGCACAATATCCTGTTGGTTCAGTTGTATAATGCTGAATGACAGATAAAACAAGCCCTTGAATGTCAAGTAACCTGAGTAATTTTTATCAGAACAACCAAAGCCTTAATTTCTGTTGGATCCTAACATTATGTGTGGCACAGCTCACACACACACACACACACAAAATCCCCAGTTGTTTCCCATTCATTTCTCATCAATATATGGGAAGGACTTTCAGCAGGGGTTGTGAACCCAAGGACCAGACCTGTTCCACAAAGCTGTCTTTTTGCCTTCAATACAACTTCCTTAACTTTTGAAAAGTGCTACCTCTCCCTCTGCCCAGGTACCCTTTCATAGAAAGTCTAGACATTTGAAGAAACAGAAGGAGCACTTCCTTCAATTTTTTTGTCCAGATACGTCTCTCTGTTCCCCCATCTCTACTGAGTGTGCAACTGACCTTGGGCATCATCTGCGGCCGGAATGCAAGCTCTCTTTTGGCAGATCTGCAAGAAAAGTCATAATAAAATATGGTTTCATGGACAAAAACACTATCAATGGCTACTCATGGAGGACGAGGCTATCAGGGCAGAGTGTTCTTGTGCTCACGTCCTACTAGGGGTTTCCCACATTTGGGCATTTGGTTGGCCATTGTAACGGGATGCTGGACTAGATGAGCCATTGGCCATTGTATAAACAGCAGGCTCTTCTTGCATTCTTCTTGTTCTTCCCCTCTGTCTTCTCACACTGGAAAGGGACGCCAAAGGAGGCATTTGGATATGTGTGAGGGAGTTCTCAATCCCTGGCTTTTCTACAGTAGTTAGGGCTAGGAGCTGTCCTGGAGAGCAACTGCCAGTCATTGTTGACAGTACAGTGGTACCTCGGGTTACAAAGGCTTCAGGTTACAGACTCCACTAACCCAGAAATAGTACCTCGGGTTAAGAACTTTGTTTCAGGATGAGAACAGAAATCGTGTTCCGGCAGCGCGGCGGCAGCTGGAGGCCCCATTAGCTAAAGTGGTGCTTCAGGTTAAGAACAGTTTCAGATTAAGAACGGACCTCCAGAACGAATTAAGTTCTTAACCCGAGGTAGCACTGTACTCTGCTAGATGGGCCAGACCTCTGACTTTGTGCAAGGCAGCTTCCTGTGTTCATGTAAGCTGTTTGCACAACACTTGAGAATCTTCTTCATCCTGCATATATTTATTTCTTTTCCACTTAGGCCTAATCCACAAGCAGCCTCCTTTAATCTCAGCTTCTCTTCCTCTCCCAGAGTTTGCTTATTTCGAGGCTGACATTTGGCTGCAGCACCTGCTGTTTGGATCCTTCCTGGTCTCCCTTTTGGCAGAATCAACCGTTAATCCTCAGGATCTGCTTTATGCACCTCAAGGCAAAACTGAGGACAACATTTGCAAACCATTTTTCTTTACGGATTTGTTTCTTTCTTTTTTCTTTTCCTGACAATTGTTTTGGTTTCTTGGTCTGTTTTTCGGTTCCATCTGATTGTTCCCCTTTTCATCTCTGCTTCTCTTCTTCTCCCAGAGTTGCTTATTTCTGGCGCTGACATTTTGCTGCAACACCTGCTGTTTGGCACCTCGCTAGCCTACCTTTCTGAATCCGCACTAATGAGCTCAGGCAGAACAGAGAGCTGTCATTCAGGGACCTGCCCTCATTCAAAGCACACAGAGCATCACGGTCTCCCCCTCCCCATCACAACAACTGTAGAAGAGGAAACGCTGTCCATCAGGAACTATTAATTGGCTGCTCCTACCCAAAGGTCACCAAGGCCTCTTTGTTTTTTCTTAATGAATGGGGAGGCAGATGATACTAGGGAGCTGAGCACACTTGGTTCCTTTTTCATTGTTCACCTGGACTTAGTGTGAGTACAGAGCAATGGTGGGAATTAAGAAATTTCCCTCCCTGTGGAACGCCCTCCCATCAGATGTCAAGGAGACGAAGAGCTTCAAACTTTTAGAAGACATCAGAAGGCAGCCCTGTATCGGGAAGTTTTTCATGTTTGACATTTTACTATGTTTTATATGCGCTGGAAGCCACCCAGATGGGCAGGATGTAAAACAACAACAACAACAATTCCAATGGTTTTTGTTTTTTATGAATGAATCTATATTCATACAGTGTGTGCATGAGAGTATCATCTAGAGACCTTGCTTGTCTTACCAACTGCCTACCCCTTCTGAAGATCATTGAGTTCAATCATCCATGTAGTTTGGTGAGGGATAGGCCACAGCCCATAGAAGAGCATATGCTTTCCGTAGAACTGTTGAGTTGGAAGGGATCCTGAAGATCATCTTGTCCAACCCCCTGCAATGCAGGAATATGCAGTTGTCCCATACAGGGATCGAACCTGCAACCTTGGCGTTTTCAGCACCACGCTCTAACCAGCTGAGCTATTGGGAGTGCTCAGTCCTTTGCATCTCTGCTTCAAAGGTTCTAGTAACAAGTGATAAGTAAGGCTTCTGAAGCTGTCGTAGCTAACCAGAGAGTATACTACCTGGTACACAGCACAACATTGCAAACAAATTATGTTCACCATCTTTGTTCTGTTCCTCTGAGAGTTTTCGGAGCTTGTTTTGAAACCAGTTGTTGAGAACTGCAGATGGGGAAAGAAATCTGCTGTGCTCATGTGTTGCCTCTGTGCTTCCCATTGGCATCTCATTGGCAACTGTGAGAACAAGATGCTGTGCCCTTTGGTCTTCTTAAGTTTTCTTAAGTTCCTTAAGGCCTGGTTCGTTTTTGGACATTTTCCTACCTCCTGGGTGAAATTAGGTAGCAAAACTAAAACATGCAGATCAGACGAAAGAGCTTTATGCAACAATCGATTGGGAGAGCTGGGAACAAATTGTATGGAAAGGAGTGGATCTTGAACTTGATTTGTTTCTCTCATGTTCAACAACCAAAATGTCACTATTTCATTTGAACTGTAGTTGGGGAACAGATTTATTTCATTTCATTAGAACTCAAGGGCTGCCTTCGGGTGGTAAGAGAAGCACATAGCGCCAAACCACTTAGAGCTAAAGTTGGGGTTATTAAATTTAGGAGCACGTGCCACACTCTTTCCCACTGAGCTGTGATTGCAGAAAAAAGCTTAATTTTAGGTGTGGGTGGGTGGGGGGTAGATTGCATTGGCACAGGAAGGAACCCATCATTTAGATGAGAGCCCCACTAGTTTTGACCTCCACGCAGCATTTAAAGAACAGCCCACTCCATGCCGTAGCCCCAGGACACATAGCAGCACCAGAAAAGAGCACCAGAGAAGTGTTCAACATGGAATTAAACAGAATATAAAAATATGTAGGAACATAGGAAGCTGTGCTATGGCTTTTGGTCCATCTAGCCCAGTATCGCCAGCACTGAATGACAGCATCTGCCCAGGGTTTCAGGGAGGGCCTCTGGTCCTATTTGGGATCTTCTGCATGGAAAGCAGATGTTCTACCACTGAACCACAGCTCTTCCTTCTAAGAGATAGAGGAGACCACTTAGAGCTAGCTGATGGGTGAAGGAACTTAAGAGTTCTTTGCATGCATAACCCACACCTAAATGAGACTTTGGTTTGATACAGGGAGCTTTTTAAAAAAATAGTCATGAAATGGACTATATCAGCCTTGGAGGTCAGGGCAAGTTACATTTCCCATTAGCAACAGGGAAAGAATTTTAAATATTTTCATAATAGTGTCCTGGGAACACCACAAGACAGTAAAATATCTATCAATGTTATACAGATAAAATTTCCTGAATTTCCAAACAAGTGCTGTTGCCGCTGTTCCGTTTATGAATTGCTTCCCATGAAGTATCCCAAAACGATTTACAGTACAGTAAAAACATACGTAGAACTGTTGCTCATGTAAACACAGTTACAGTATTTTTCGCTCTATAAGACGCACCAGACCACAAGACACACCTAGTTTTTGGAGGAGGAAAACAAGAAAAAATATATTCTGAATCTCAGAAGCCAGAACAGCAAGAGGGATCACTATGCAGTGAAAGCAGCAATCCCTCTTGCTGTTCTGGCTTCTGGGATAGCTGCACAGCCTGCATTCGCTCCATAAGACACACACACATTCCCCCTTACTTTTTAGGAGGGAAAAAGTGAGTCTTATAGAGCAAAAAATACGGTAAAATAGTTTCACATATAAAAACTGTAACTCCCTAAATGTATATACATCTGTCTATCTGCAGTTTGAAAGAGCAGCAGCATATACATAGTGAATTCAAATCCAATACAGATACATTACTAATGTGTACATAACTAAATTATGTAGACTACATCCAAGTAATTTCTGCTCAGAGTTGACCCATTGAAATGAATAGGTGTAAGTTAGCCGTGGCTGTTTATCTCAAAGGGAGGGTCTGCTTTGACTCTGATTAATGTTGGATGCAGCTGAATGTCCGGAATCTAGGCTTGCTGAAAAGATTTTCAAAAATCATTTCTGGAGTGGCAGCCAAACGGTGTGGGCTTCTTTTCATGTGATGCCTCATTAACAGGGGAACAGATGAACCGGGGACTCTGTCTGCCACTTGACAAACCCTTCACAAATGTGCAAAGCAATTAATTAATTAGGAGGTGTGTATTGCTGCCCAAATTTAATGGTGCGCAGCACTGATCTTTTGCTTTGGCAGGGTGACGAATTCCAGAGGGGAAAGCTGTGCCTGTCTGTCTGTCAGCAAAAACAAAAGCAAGTCTCTTGCTGACAGCTTTAAGCGGAAGTTGCCAATTTGTTTGACTACAACTCCCATCGTCCCTGACCGTTGTCCGTGTGGTCTGTGGCTGGTGGGAGCTGGGATCCAAGAGGTATCTTGTTGACTAATGCTGTCTTGAAGATTAGCAGTTTCATTGTAGCATTAGTTTTAACCAGTGCTATTTAGCTAGAAAAAGAGGTGCCAGAACTCGCTATGAACACCTCCTTCGTTTTCTTAGAATGGCAATGGAGACATGCTAGAACCAATTTATAATAATAATAATATTAATAATAATACATTTTCTTTATACCCCGCCCTCCCCGGCCAGAGCTGGGCTCAGGGCGGCTAACACCAGTAAAATTACAGTAAAAACATAATAGGGAAAAAACCCCAATTTAAAATACGGGTTAAAATGCAATTTAAAATGCAGTCTCATTTTAAAAGTAGCCCATAGATCAAAACCATAAGTGGAGGGAAACATAAGGGTCAGACTGAGTCCCAACCAAAGGCCAGGTGGAACAGCTCCGTCTTGCAGGCCCTGCGGAAAGATGTCAAGTCCTGCAGGGCCCTAGTCTCTTGTGACAGAGCATTCCACTAAGTCGGGGCCAGTACTGAAAAAGCCCTGGCCTTAGTTGAGACCAATCTAACCACCTTGCAGCTTGGGACCTCCAAAGTGGTGTTATTTGTGGACCTTAGGGTCCTCCACGGGGCATACCAGGAGAGGTGGTCCTGTAGGTACGTGGACCTATGAGTTCCTTCTGAAAGAAAGCCCTGGTTTTAATGATCTAAAATGCTTCAACACACATTCACGAATAGTATAACAAAAGACTGTGAAATGCAAGGTGTTGCAGTTGTTGGCATCCATCTATTTCAAGAGACAATGGAGTGCGCCTCTGGGGGTGAAGTAAAACCACTTCGTTAGCGGCACTGAAGTGACCTCCCTGGGGGCACAAGCCTGGCAGTGTGTATGGAGGTCCTGAGCTGCCCAGACGACAGGACCTTCCTCTCAGCCTTGCTGATGTGGTCCAAAGGAAAGCAGAGCAATATGTTTGGCATCAGCTTGGCTGCAAGAGCTGCTGGAAGGAGGTGTACAAGACTGCCTTAGGACTTCACTCTGGATTTGTGTAGGGTTTCCTCTTTCGCCTTTTCTTCTCGCAAAGATATCCCACAAGGCAGCAGAAGTTCAGGATCGGTTTTCCATCTCCTAGATGGGCTGCCTTCCCAGGTTGACAAGCCCATCTGCCCCTCACTTCTGCACATGCAGAAACAACCTTCTTGATCGTGGGACCCGCTATTGGTCTCATCCACTCAATCTCCCAGAGCTTGTCTTCGCATGCAGGGGAAGTCCCTCCCTAACTCACTGAGGGTTCGCTACCCATCAGCTACCCTCCCTTGGTTTAGCCAGCCAGTAGAAGCCATTTCCCGGTGTGTGGCAGCTGTTGCATGCCGACGGCTCAGTCAGTAGAGCTTAATCTCATGGCTGTGGGTTCGAGCCCCATGTTGGGTGAAAGATTCCTGCTTTGCAAGGGGGTTAGACTAAATGATCCTTGTGGTCCCTTCCAGCTTTATAATTCTAGAACCCACAGCTGAGAACTGAGTGTAGGGTGGGGACCAAAGGTGTTTAAAGTACCCCAGAAGGAACACAATGTGTCCTCCATCAGACCCTACATTCTACACAGAGTATTGGTTTATCTATTATTTAACTTGTTTGAAGGTTCCCCTGTGCTGTCTAAAAAGAAAAGAAAAGAAAAGCTTTCTGCACATCTTGAAAACTTAACATTCTTCTTCCTCCTCCTCCTCCTCCTCCTCCTCTTGCCATGCAGACTTTTCCATATTGGGAGACTTTAATTGTATATGTGCATCTGGACATGAAACCCCTCTCCTGTTCCCAAATGAACCCCCTGCACCACTTATTTGATTCAGATGTACTGCTTCAGGGGAAGGGCTGCAGCTCAGTGGCAGAACACATGCTTTGAATGCAGAAGGCTCCAGATCCAACCTCTGGCATCTCCAAGCAGGGCTCTTGTCAGAAAAGTGTAGACAATGCTAAGCTAGATTGTCTACACATTTGGCACAAGACAACTTCCTATCTACCTTGTTTCTGTTCACAGGATATATTGCCCTCTCATTTTTGTTTGTGTGGCATAACCTTCAGCACTCCCTGTCCTGAAACACCTTCCTACCAGCCAAAGCTTTTGAGGCCCTGCTCACCATCCCCCTCCTAATTCTACAGAATATCTTTTCTATGAGTTTTTCCTGTTTGATGCACCCATCTTGCTTTCAGAATATAGCCAGGTTCTTTGTTTTTCCTTATGTGTGTTCGTTCCCCTAATTTTGGCCCTTGGGATATTGCAGGTTGCAAAATGAAATATTGTTTCCAGAGAGGGGAATTTAGAATAGTACACAAAGTGATAATAAACGTAGACTGTTTAGGGGAGAGAGGAGAGGATGTGCAGATCTCATTCAGCTTTTGGAGACAGTTGCCACCATTCATTAAAGTGGCCTGAAAGAGTCACAGTTAAACGATGCCAGGCACTTCCTCTAGTGCTGTCCAGGTTGCCTTTTTAGCAGAACTCTCCGTTCCTCTTGCCCAAAGGAGGCCATTGAATAGGACTTTAGGTCACCCGTTTTTCTGGCATTGCTGGAGCCTCTCAAATAGACATCAAATTTAACCCTGTGCTGTTATCTTCAAGTCGATAACCAATGCTTTATTTGTTTTCTCTTCCTATGTGTTGCAGTGCATTTATTAAATCCTTCCATGCCATCTATCTATCTGTCTGTCTGTCTGTCTATCTGGCTTCAGCCAAAGCGGTGCAAAAGAGAAGTTGCATCAGGCTGTGTCAGGAGCGAGCCAGGAGTAAATCACACTGTGCAAGTTGGAGTTAACTCCTTATCAGCAAAAACAGGGTCTGCAGAGCAGTGTCAGGCCTGCTGACACTGGAGATGAGCACAGCAACTCATCTCCGCTGGTCTTGCCCCATGATACAGTTGCTAAGACTGAAGGCCCCCACTTCCCCACAGATGCCTCCTTTCCAGGGTCCCCCCCCCAAGCAAACAGAGACTGTGCCTGTGCCTGTACATCACCAATCTCTTCTCCTCCCTTTCCATGTCTCTTCTGGTTCTGGGAGACCACTGGGGAAAGGAGCTTGTTCAGCAGGAGGGGGAGACTCCAGCTGGACTCCGCTCTGCCTCTTGGCTTCCCTCCTCCTACCCTCCTGCTTCAGCTTCTGCCTCTGATACTGGACTTCTCTCTGCCACAGACTCTCCCAGCTCACTAAGTCCTGTTACCTCCTCAGTTTCCAACACCACCTCCTCCCAGTCTTCTCCCTTTGACCACTCATCATTGTCCCACCACCACTCCCCAAGCTCTGAGCCTTCTTCCCTTGGGGGTTCCCCAGTTGGTTCTTCCCACCATTGCTCTGCATCAAATCAGTTCATGACAAGCTGCATCAGTCCACGTGGTACAAAATAAAGTCCTTGGATAGTATCCAGCACTTCATACGAGGAGTTGGGCTTGCTCAGTGGAAATTGCTCTTCTTCACCTTCTTTGCCATGCACCACCAAAATCTGTTCAGCAGGGTCCTCCAACCCTTTGGAACAGATCTTGTGGGTGAATGGAGTGGAGACTGCAGAGGAGAGGTGGGTGGAATTTTTGTTGTGGAAGCAGACATTAGCTATGCTAATGGAATCTGCCTTAAACCTTAAGTTTATTATTTTTAATAGCTTCTCTAAAAAATGCCACCTAACAAGTAGTGGCCATCATTCCATCT